AGATTGGTAGTGTCCCTGAAATTTAGAAATGGGTTTGTAGCCTTTTCCAAACTGGTGGGCATATATAATATTTTACAGAGATTGATTTTTTTCCCCTTAATGTTAGAGTTTATAGGTATAGAATCTTTGGTGAAAACTTTACTATTTACTATAAAGAAGGAAGCCAATTTATGACTTGTATGATTTGCGACTTGGCAAGGCTAGTTATTCTTTTAATTCAGTTGATTGAACTAAAAAGTTGATTATATTGTCACATTGGCAGACTACAGTTGAACTCTTCTTTATGAAACAAATGAAACAAGCATGGTGTTATTTGCTCATTCAGGCTCTACTTGCACATCAGGAAGACCCAAATAAATCTCTGATAATATTAATTGGTAAAGATACACAAACATTCAAAAAATGCGGTTAATAATAAACTATGTATTTTCTTAGGGTTTGTAATTTTAGACAGCATTGAGGATAATTGAGATTCACTTTGGGAAATGTTTGTATTTCAGAATCAGAATAGAATAGACCTGGAAGGGACCTTGGAGGTCTTCTGATCCAGCGCCCAAGCAGGAGATCCTATACCATTTTAGACAAATGACTGTCCAGTCTCTTCTTTTCTTTTTTTTTGCAAAATATTTTTTTTCCCAACATAACACATAAAAGACACCTCTTTCGAGAGCAAAGTCTCAATCCAGTCATGAATAGGTACAATTGCTTACATTTTAAAAAAGCTCCATTCACAATTTCCCATTATATCTTTTAAAATTCAAAGTCAAAACATAGAAAAAATTTTAGTCATAAACTCGAATATCTTGATCAGAACCATTCTATTATATCACCACCAATTTAATTTCCAGGTACACATTTAATTCATTATTATGCTCATTTATAAGTTCAATTATCTCTGGTTCTTTTCCAGGCTCTCTTCATTACACCTTTTAACATCAATATTAAAACATTAAAAAAAAAGAAAAAATATTCTAATCTAGTCTAATTATTTACCTTACAATTTCTAACCACACATCATAATTTCAAACTTAGATACAGCTCTATTTTTTGTTTCAATTAATAAATCAAAATTCAGTCCATATTTCTTAATCTCTTGACCCCTTCTTTAAACCTTAAAGCTTTATCAATTTGCCTTTAGTTTTGCATATTTCATATTCTCAAATTTATCTCAAAATCCATATCCTCCTCCCTATTTCCTCCTATTATTGGCTGATTTCCAGCATATTATTGTTTGGCTGATTAACAGCATATCCTCCTTCATACCTCCAGCTTTTGTTTGGCTGATTTCCAGCATGCTTTATTTTGGCTGATTTCCAGCATAGTCTCCTCCGAACTTCCCACTAATTTTAAATCATGTGGCACAGCTGATCCTCAGAAATACCGTTTGGACCAACCGATGCAAATTGGTAGGATTTCACCACTGTTGCCAACTAAGCAACAATTAAATTTGAGGAATGGCCAAGGCAGCAGCTCTGTAGTCTCAGCAGTGATGGAATAGCCCTGCTTTTTTCTGGCAATTTGAAGGAATTCAGACTGCACAGGCTGGAAATCACATGGTTTTGGATATTTCCCTATCAAAAAAAAAAAAAAAGGAAAACAAAGGAAGATTTTCCAAGACACGCAATTTCAGCACTGACTGGAAATTTTGCAGCTGTTACTCCCTGCGGGTTTGAAGGAATCCAACTGGGAATAGCTATGCTGGTTTTTCTATGGAACCAAAGAGGCTCTTATCTGTAAACATAAATATCAAACAACAGTTTTACTGCTTGATGTGAATTGTCAATCCAAAATATAGAGAGCTCTGAATCTCTATTTTGCAGACGCCCCACCCCTCAAAGGAGATGTCTCATCCATCCATCTTTCTTGTGTATTCATTGAGTTTCTCAGCTGGATAACTTCTGTTGGCTGTAACTTGTTTCCCTAATTTTATTCTAAAGCTTTATTTCAACAATGTAAATTTGCTGACTCTTAGACTGATTTTGGTGCCAATGACAAGTATTTTCCCCCTGTACTGCTCCCTTTTAATTTACCACCCCAATTGCAGAATATCCTCACTTTCAACATACCTAGCCCTTGCTCAGGGCTAATAATGGGCAATCTTAACTTTGATTCTTTAGCCTCTCTGCTTTCTAGACTTTTTATTGTCCATGCAATTCCCTCAACATTCTTTCCAATTTGTCAATGTCCTTTTTGAATTGAAGCATGGGGCTGGGATTATGTTCAGCTGGACAATGAAGCATTTATTACACATAGTGTTGTGAATTTGGCTGGCTTGATCACTGTGAATGGATGCTCAGGGCCCTTAACAAAAGAATTTTAATGCTCGTTTAATGACTCTGGATGGTCCCCTGATGAACCGTTCACCTGCTGGGTAGAATCACAGATGTGTTCTCTGCAGGGTACCTATGAAAGAAACAGCAATGGTGAAGTTTGAAAAAAAATAGGTAGAAAGTATTGTAGAAAAAAGAGGGGAAATGGGAAAGTGTAAATCCTAGATGGAGTAAAATAAAATTGCTAGTGTGAAAATTTTGGAACTTTGTGCCTGGGAAAATAAGAAATGTGTTAGAATATTGAGTATTTTGCTCATAGTGATTGAGCTACTATATTATAATAAACCATATTATGGTTTAGGTTGATTTAGTCTTAATGTGTTCTGTGCATCAACCATTATAGCTTAGTGTGGTTAGAACATTTTTATGACATGGCATTAGAACATTTTCTTTGAGTGTTTATACTTTTATCAAGGATCAGAAACGGTGTCTCTTTTTATTTTACTTTAAGATTAGTTGGTTGTCTTACACTTCATTGTTCACAGAACTTGAAAGTTGTTTACCCAGGGAAGTGCGATAAGGCGGACATCCCAAGGACAGATAAGGTGCAATTCCAAGGATTCTCCTTACATAATTATTGTCACAAAACTTAAGGGAACTTGGCAAGGAAGGAAATTACTTATATGGAATGATGTGAAAAGGGAAATGAATTACTGAATAGGGAATTGGTATTATATGGGAGTGGTTCGTTGTAATGTATACAAACAATGCTGGAGAGAGGGAGCCTAACAGCTTGCTGTCATTGCTCTTGGGTGAAGAATAAGGAACTTAATTCATGCATCTATCTGTTTCCTTGATCCCAGACCAGAAATGAATTTGTTAAGGAATAAAATATTCCAGCAGTGTCATGCGCAGGTTGTGCAGTGATGTTTAAAACAGAGTTTACAAATCAAGACTGAGGGTTGTGTTTGAATGCAGCAAGGTTGCTTGTCTTATTATAGAAGCTTTTAAAATGGACAGAGAGGGGGGAAGGATGAGGTAGAATATAGGAAATCATGTCTCTGCCCTCTCTAGCTAGTAACTGGACAAAAGCCTCTCCATTATCACAGATTCCAAGTCAGCTTTCAAAGGAATTAAAAAGCTTTATCATTTTAAAAACCTTTCTAATATGTAGCATGTTCACGCTGCTAATGACTTATGGATGAGTTACCCATTACAAAGTCTTTTATTGTGGATATACTTTAAAAATAGTAGGATCTAAAAGCCACTAGCTATAGCTATCCACTATGGTGTTTGGTTTCCAATCTGATACTTTGGTGTAATTGTTTAATGCAAATTTTACTCCAAAAGATCAAAGGGGCCTGAAATTAGTTTTACTTGGGTATCTGCAATTTCAGAAACTACAGAATACTGTACAAATATTAACAGCCATTAAAAAGCTCTGACCACAGCAAGAAAAGGTTGAGTGATTTCCATCATAAAATTGTGCAGAAAATGAGACCATCAATCCATTTTAGAAAAGGGAACAAATCAATTGCAATTTCTTTTGTCTTAAGTAACTCTTTTTCCTGGAGACAGATTCCCTCCAGACCACAATGTTGGCTTTCCTGCGATGGAGTGGATATTGTAGCTGCTGTTGGGAACTTTTGCTTTGTTTATGATGGTTTCTATTTAAATGTTCCACTGCTTTTTGTTGTGTTCAGAGCCTTGCTGGATTTTGTGGCATATCATCATTTTACCCATTGTCCATCCACTGCAGGATGAAGGCCTCTTCTGCATTGTTCCAACCAATTTGGTCGTGAACTTTCTTTTGCCAGTTGGGCCTGCAAAATTTGGTGATGTCATCAATCCATCTTATTTTAGGTCTCTTTCGTGGACACTTTTTATCAACGGGATCCGTTCTATGACCTTGGTCTGCTTCCCATGAATTCTTCTTCTATGTGACCAGTTCATTTCCATTTAAATTCTTTTATTCTCTTGATAATATCATATACTTTTGTTTGTTCTCTAGTCCATGTGCAGGTCTTTCTATTTTGTCTTGTAACGCCGAGCATGCATCTTTCCATGGCTCTTTGCACCACACTTAGCTTTTCTATTGATTGCGAGTTAGTGTCCATGTTTCACTGGCATATGCTAGAGCAGGTAGCACACACTGGTCGAAAACGTTTAGCTTCAGGCATAGGGGGGAGGTTGTTGTTGAAAATTATGCTTAGCTTGCCGAATGCCTGCCAACCACATTTAACACACCATTCAATTTCCTTTATTGTATTACCTTCCATTGAGATCCGTTGGCCAAGGTATATGTAGTAGTTCACTAGATCTAGTTCTCCTTCAGATATATATATTTTTCTTTCTTTGATGAATTTATTAAAAATAGCCTGGCTCTTTTTCAGGTTTATTTTTAAGCCAAATAGTTTTCCTGCGTTGTGCAGCTCTTGTAGCTCTTCTGGGTCTTGTGAGACAAGAACAACATCATCTGTGAATCTTAAGTGATTTAAATAGACAACATTGATTTTTATTCCATCTTTAGCTCAAACTAGTTTGCAAAATACTTCTTCATGGCAGGCTGAGAAAAGGATAGGTGATATTACATCACCTTGTCTTGTACTTCTTCTATTCTGATTTCCACTTTAAGATCATTAAGGCAAATTGTTGCCATTGTTTCTTCCTTTATTGATTGTTGTAAATTTATGTAAGCAATGTCTAAGCCTTGGTTGAGCAATGCCTTACTTATTGCTTGCTGGAATACTGAGTCGAACACCTTTTGGTAGTCAATGAAAACCATGCACAGAGGCATGGTGTACTTGTAGTGCCTTTCAATGACTTGCTGAACAACCTGGATATGATCCATTGTGCTATAGCCACTTCTTAAGCCTGCCTGTTCCTTTGGCTGTGCACCATTTAATGTTCCCAATATTTTTTTTGCTATTATCTTGGTGAAAACCTTGTACATGACTGAAAGAAGGCTTATTGGGCGATAGTTCTTTAAATCATTCTTGTGCATAAGAATCACTTCAGCATTTTTTCATGCATCGGGGAGTTTTATTCTCTGAGGCATCTCAAGTATAGTTTTGCTAGTATCTTGTATAAACTGTGATCACCAGCTTTCAGAATTTCAACTGTAACATAGTCATTTCCTGAAGCTTTGCCATTTTTAATTGATTTTATGGCACTTGATACTTCTTCCACTAGAATATCTGGCATTTCCTCTTTCGTGGATTCTGTTACTTTTGGGTGATCTTGATCTTTGTATAGCTCTGAATAGAATTTTCCAATTATTTCTAACATTTCCTATTTTCTACACACAGAGCCATCTTCCTGTTTTAATGCAAAAACCTTCTTTCTTGTATTTATAAGCTTGCATTTTGTTCTATTAATCCCTTTGTTTTCTTCAATTGCCCTTTTCACAAGCTTCACATTAACCTAACGTGTTTCTTCTTGGATACGTTATCTTATGGTCTTGCAAAGTTCAGCGTACTCCAGTTTATTAGTGAAGCTTCCAGTATTCTTCATTGTCCATCATTAAATCAATAGTTTCATCAGAGAAAGTGTTCTTCCGGCGGTACTATAGATGCGGCAGATTCAAGGATGTTTTTGACTATTTGTTCATTTTGTTCTTTAATGTTCATTTCTTTCAAATGTTGCAATAGAGTAAAGCGATTTGATAGATTAATCTCAAAATTGCTGTTCTCTTCTGTAGCATATGAATAATAAGTGAATAAATAAATACATCCAAATTTTATTGTGGATTTAGGCTAGTATCAAATAAAATAACCATTATATGTAGTGATAGACATCCAAATATTTTAATCCAGGTATATCAAAGTTACTCAGGATTTTTAGATTTTTCTAAGATGACTTAGAAGTCATTTTACTATCACCCATCTTTACAAATAGCACACAAAATTTTGCAACCAATAGGTGGTTTTAGAGTTTCAACTTGCTAACAGTTAATTTGTGAGAGCCAATTTGGTGTTGTGGTTAAGGCATCAGGCTAGAAATCAGGAGATTGTAAGATCTAATCCTACTTTAGGCATGAAGCCAGCTGAGTGATTTTGGGCCGTTCATTTTCTCTCAGCCCTAGGAAGGAAGCAATGGCAAAATACTCCTGAAAATCTTGCCAAGAAAACTGCAGGGATTTGTCCAGGCAGTGGCCAGGAATCAACTGGAAGGCACAGACAAAAAAGCTGTTCATTTAAATAAAATCCATTTGAATACTCAGAAAAAAAGGTTGCTAACAGTGAGGGATGACTGCTAAGCATTCCTTCCATGGAATAAAACAGAAAAAGAGGTATGCTCTTTTGAATGGACAATCTATTTACAGAGGAGAGGACTTGCATCCCTAATTCAAATGAATCAGTCTGGTAGCCAGATGGGATTTTCCCTTCTGTGATGGATTCCTGTGAGTCTGGCATTAGTGCTTAAGTAGCACATAGCAATTTAATAACTTGCTAAACTGCTCCAGGTGCTGACATCATCCCCCTTTCCATGTGTTCCCATTAGTTGGACAGCGTCAAGTTACTGGTTCAGAAAATCAAATTCTGATTGGCACATTGGCAGGGACCATGCCATCAGTTTTAGTTAACAGAATTCTTCTGCTTCATTGACTCTGTTTGCAAAGTTATGTCCCTAAGTAGGAAGCACAACCAACCCCTTTAATAATAAGCAGGATTCAATATTACCCTGGCATTGAGCCAAAGGCTGGCATTAAAGCCAAATAGAGTAGTGATGAAAGTGTATTTGTGTCATCCCAAACAATGACAGATACTTGTTGCCTTTTATCTTCATTTTAGTTTATGTTTTAGTTTATTACTTTTGGAGCTGAGACAGACCTCCAAAGACCATATAACCCAATAATATGATATTATATAGGAAATGAGTTGGTTTTCAATAGTCACTATTAATCTTTAGAAAGTTGAGGAAGACCATATTTTTTTCACTATATCTTCAAGAGCAAATGTTGTTCTATTTTTATTTTATTTTCTAATTAAAGTAATTAAAATTATTTCTGATTGCTAACTTCAGTAATCAAATTTATGGCACTGCTTTTAATGTTTCTTTTTATTGTGGAGTTTGAAGGGTTTTCTTAAATTCTGGTCAAGTGTCTTGAATCTATTAATTACGCAACATGCTATGTTATATCATAAATAAATTAATATATCAAATATAGTAGGCTTTGTTATAAAACTGGCTTATAAGAAAGTGCAAAGGAAAATTTTAAACATGAATTCCTGGAGTTTGTTGTGTCCCCACCCCCCTTTTAATCCTTTAAAACATATTTCTTGTTAAAGAAATGTAATCTTTTCCTGCTATTATATATTTGATAGCACTGGCCATTAACTTCTATTTTTGTATAAATAATTAGCTTACAGGATAATTCCAAAAACACTGGGGAATTCCTGAAAGCTTGGTATTTTGACAAATCAGCCATCAAATAAAGATAAACCACATTTACACACTATTCAGAAGAAACAATAAAAAAGCTAAGAAGGAAACAAAAAGACCAGAATATATCTGCCACAGCAGCCTATTCCTAGGTAAGCAGGGATTAACTCAAGACAAACATTCAAGCAGAAAACAATACTAACATCAAGGAACTACAAGGAGAAAGCCACATCCCCACCAATACTGACAGGGCAAACTACCGTATATAAACAAGGAGCAAACCAGTGGTGGGTTTCTACCGGTTTGCCCTGGTTCAGGCGAACCGATAGTAGCTGCCTGGATGTGCATGCGCAGAAGTGCCACGCGTGAGCACTCCCAATTTGAAACCAGTAACAAAGGTAAGTGGAACCCACTACTGGAGCAAATCCCACACTCATTACCACTGATGATTTTACCTAGTCAGCCAATGAAAATCTGCAAGCACTCAACCATGCTTAAAGAACACCCAGGACTGCATAGCTTATAGTATTCCTTACACTTATGATATGAAACTTTTAAAATGATCTTCAGTATCATCATTTGTTTACATTGTCCTCTTCTATACAGTTGACTTGGATAGAATCTATATGGTTACAATATCTCCAAAGATTAGCAGGCTAGAACCAATGTATCCATACATAAATAAAGGTATCTCAGACTAAGAGGTGGGATTCAGCCAGTTCGCACCAGAAAACTGGTTGATACCACCACTGGCTGGCCCCGACCCACCCCTCCCCTCCTCTCCCAGCCACTCCTTATTTCGCCTCACCCACCTTGGACGGTGCCTAGAGTAATACCTGCGGCATAGCTGCTGCTGCTCTCTGGCTCCCTTGCTTGCTTGCCTCGACCATGCAGCCACGCATCCCAGCCCGCTTGCCTGCCTTTGCCATGACCTACCATGCAGCACCTGGGGTCCAGCTCTCTGCCTCACCTGCCTTCCAACAAGATCTCCGCTCCTCCTTGTTTGCCTAGACTAGACTTGCCCAGCTGCCTCGGCCTGCTCCCGCCCGCTCCAGCAGCAGAAGCCTTGAAGTGGAGCTAAGCGTGGCCAGGTGCCCGCTTGGGGAAGCGGGGCTGGGAAGGGTGCTCGTCTCCAAAGCCTCTTTTTTCTCTCGGCCTCCACCTCCTACCTCTTCTCTCAGCTTCCACCTCCTACCACTTCTCTCAGCCTCCACCTCCTACAGCCTTTGTTGGTGCCTTGGTCGCTTGAGGAGACACTAGCCTGCTGCAGCCATGGTGGCCATGGTTGCCATCTCATGGCCTTCCCACTGGCTCAACCCAGCATCTCCCCAAGCGACCGAGGTGTGCGCAGCACCAACAAGGGTGGAAAAGCGCCCGCAAGACCCAGCAAGAGATGAGGTGCCTTAGTGCTTCCCGGACATGCAACATGCTCTTTGGTCTTGGAGCTGTAAAACACTTCTCTCTGCCACAGTGCTTCCCAGACATGGCTTACAGCTCTGAGCCCGAAGAGCAGTTCACGTGTCTCCCTGAGTGACTGAGGCAAGTACAGGGATGCTTCGCTCCAGCACTAAGGCTCCAGCCATCGCTACCACCGCTCCAGCCACCTGAGCTGCCCCACCTGGCCGTAACAGTGCCATTACCTTGCTCTGGACGGTAAGAGCCTGCACTACTCTTTGCACCACTTCTTGTACCACCCTCTACAGCAGAGATTTCCAGCCCCACCCAGAGCGAGTCTCCCTCCCCTGCCATTGTCCTTACCTTCTCAGACCAGGCAAGGGATGACTAGTAGGGGAAGGGCAAAGGGAGGGGCCAGCCAGTGCTTTTGTCCCACACTAAGGCTCCGGCCACCATCGCTTCAGTCCGCCTGTGCCTCCCCACCTTGCCATGAGTGACATCAAGTTGGCCATGCCCACTCAGTCATATGACCCCCCCAGCCACGCCTATCCAGACAGTCATTAGGAAGAACCGATTGTTAAATTACTTGAATCCCACCACTGCTCAGATTTAAGGCTACCAACAGCTAAGTGTCAATTAACATGAAACGACAAAAAGAAATGTTGATTTTAAATGTTGGAGCATTACTATATAAGGTTTTGATTGTTTTGCACTGCTGTAGGTAATCAACTGCAATGTTAAAGTTTCTTCTTTCTTGCTTTTTTTGCAATACAGATCCTACACTAGCCAAGTCATGTTAGGGAGTCATTTGCCAAGTCTAGCTGAGAGTCACATTACAGAATAAGTTTATACATATTCATGATTTATTGCCTACTTGGGTGTGAAGCTCGATAGTATGTGCTAATCACACATTTGTGGCAATATGCCAAATGACATAAACAAATCTGGGTTTAATTCTGAGGACTTGCTACTCAAAATATAGGATATTATCGAAGACCACTGGCTGAATTTCTCCAGATGATGCAATTTTAATTATCTTTTGCATATGGAATTAGCAAACTATGATGTTGC